AAATCACAGTCAACAAACGGTCAAATAGACAGAGGACTAAATTGTGTTAAAATTGCAAAGTTAAGGACTTAATTGGTTGAAATTGAAAGTCGAGGATCAATTTGTGAATTTAGCTATAGTCGAGGGATCATTTTGGGTATTTACTCTTAATGAAATTATAAAGGAAATAGATCTGATCTACAAGACTAGACATATATTATGATAAGTTATATATATAATTTAGTTTAATTTTGTTTAATTTGTTTGTACCTGAAACAGGTCTAGGGGTGTTAGTTAGCTAAATAAGTGTTAGTTAATTTGGGTTAGTGGGTATGACTAGTTGATAACATTACCTGATTGTAGAAAAGTATTTGGTAAATTAATTGTTAGCTGATAGCCGATTACATCTTTTAAATGATTTTCTCAAAAAGCTTATTGAAAGAATTCAAGCTACTTTGAGCATCTTTTTAAATTTTAGCATTATGGAACAATAAGATGTTACAAAAAGCTAATTAATCAAACACTAATATTGATTGTTTAACTAAGTCAAACAACTAATAATAATCAAAGACTTAATTCTATTTTTTATCTTAAATTTATAGGTGACAGTCCACTTTTATTTATTTTTTTTTTAACAACCCCATTTTGCCCCTAGTATTATTGTGACATACCAATGTTGAAAAAATTGCTGGGCGCCTGGGGACCGCCTAGAGCGCCTAGGCGGGCGCCTAGGAGGCCGACCGCCTAGCGCCTAGGCGCGATTTTTGCAACAATGGACATGACCAATTTTGGTCCTCTAATCCATCAACAAAATTGTTAAAATTTCGTTAAATTGAAGGACATTATGATTTTTTTAATACAAAGTGCGTTGATCCGTTATATTTTTTATGTCTATTTTTTGAAAAAAAATCCATAATTGAAGAGCAAAATGACATTGTATTTGCTTGGCGTCGGCCGGGTTGGCCGAGTTCAGCCCCTGCTCGATTCAAGACGTGGCGTTGTGGCTTACCATGGAGAGATATGGTTAATGTCCACCTACCTATCATCAATTGGTTTTAAGTAGGATATGGCAACCAGGTACCATAGAACTCTATGGTTAAGCATGCTTCACTTCCGGCAATCTGGGGATGGATGACCCCCTGGGAAGTAAGCCGTGCAGCGCTGAGATCCATCAATTGGTATGCCGAGGTCACGGGTTCAGAGGGGATTGTTGGGCGTTGACCGGGCTGATTGACCGAGTTCAGCCCCTGCTCGATTCGAGACGTACCTATCACCAATTGATTTTAAGTAGGATATGGCAACCAGGTACCGGCCAGGCCCTGCTCGATTCGAGACGTGGCGCTGAGATCCATCAATATTTAATAAAATTTCAACAATTTTTTATAAAGGACCAAATTGACCATGTCACAATAATAATAGGACCAAAAAAGAATATTCTGATAAAAAAAAAAAAAAAAAAAAAAAAAAAAAAAAAAAACTAAAAATCGACTATCACTTATAAATCTAGAACCAAAAATCAAATTAACTCATAATCAAATAAGTTAAAATATTCTGATAAGTTAACATAACAAATGGCATGACAACCGAAATCTTGATACAATAGGTATCTTCCATAGAGTGTTAACAATTTAACATCAACTCTGATCTGCTGAGATTGTTACGGTGTTATTCATATTATGTGTTGTTAGTTTGAATTTTTATTAGCTAGGTTATTTTTTTAGTACTAATGACTCTCATAACTATTGTGTTTTTTGAGTCTACTGACTCTGTTACAATGTAGTATATGCTCATAACTACTTCTAAAATATATTTGTCAATACTATTTGGGATTCAAACTCATGACCTCCTATTTGAAAGAATCACTTCATATTACTAGACCACAATGTTATTGACCTATTTTTTTATTATTTATATACAAACTTTAGTAACAAAATATTTCAACTTTTAAGAAAAAGTGTCAAATTGGCCCCCTAAGTCAAGTGGATAGTGCAATTGAGTCCCCTAAGTGAAAAAAGCTCTATTTAAATCCCCTAAACCTGTAAAAAGGTTCAATTAGGTCCAAAATTACCTGTTTGGCAGGTTAGTGTCTTCTAATGGTGACATGTGTCTCTTTTTAATTTTTTTTTTTTTATTATTATTATTATTATTATTATTATTATTATTATTATTATTATTATTAGATTTTTAATTATTTTTTTAAGAAAAAAGAAATTCTTCATACAGCCACCGGCGCTATAGCAGTCGGTGGCTGTACTCATTCAAGGAGAGCCATGGCTGTGGCGACAGCCCTGGCTATCCGGCAGCCATGGCTGTCCTAAAATACGGCCATGGCTGTCTGAGACACATCTAAAAAAAATTTAAAACTTTTGAATTTTTTTTTTACTGCCATGGCACCCATCGCTAGGTAAAAAAAAAAAAAAAAAAAATCAAAATATCTATCAATCCGTCAAGAAATGAGCATTAAGGAGAAAGGAGAAAGGTGGCGGTTCTGTCCGACAGTGATGTTGGTTGGAGTGGTCTCGAACTGTGCGCCGGAGCTGAAGCTTCTCCTCACCGCTCTCCCGCCGGAGCTAAGCATTAGAAGGTGACAGCTCCTCCTTCTCTTCTCTATTATCAGTAAAATTTATCCCCGTGCCGCGAATCTTGAATAAATATTGATATGGATGAAGACAAAAATGGTTGTCTAATGAGACAGCCATGGCTGTCAAAAAAAATCAAATTTTTTGAATTATTTTTAGATGGCCATGGCTGTCTCAGACAGCCATGGCCATCATTTTTTACAGCGTCGTTGTAAAAAAAATTCAAAATTTTTGATTTTTTTTTACACGGCCATGGCTATCTCAGATAGCCATGGCCGTCTTTTAGGACAGCTATGGCTGCCGGGTAGCCACGGCCATCATTTTTGACAGCCGTGGTTGTCGCCGGATAGCCATGGCTGTCCTTGAATGAGTACAGCCACTTTACCGCCGGTGGTGGTATGAAGAGTTAAAAAAAAATATATAATAATAATAATAATAATAATAATAATAATAATAATAATAATAATAATAATTAAAAGAGACACATGTCACCATTAGAAGACACTAACCTGCTAAACAGGTAACTTTGGACCTAATTGAACTTTTTTACAGGTTTAGGGGATTGAAATGGAGCTTTTTTTACTTAGGAGACTCAATTGCACTATCCGCTTGACTTAGGGGGCCAATTTGACACTTTTTCCTAACTTTTATTATTCTTAACTTACACACTGCAAAATATTTTCTAACAACAACAACAGCAACCATTTTATTTTTATATTATTTCATAATTATTAAATTAGTGTACACAAAATAGAATTCATGCCTTTATTTTTTATTTTTCTATTCTTTTTGCAACTATTTTCTTATATTTGGTAAGAATTAAAATATAATATTATTTTCTTATTTGATATTTTTTTCAAAAAAAAAAAATTATTGAGAATTAAATACTCGCGGAATGACAAAATTCTAAAGATCATACAGAAAAGCCACATGAACAGAAGCACACAAAATGTCAACAGAATGATAGAGCATAAAAGATGGGTGACTCAATAAGCCCCACTCAATATTGTTTTCACCCATCACTAACATTATTTGTAGATTAAAATGGAAACAAATCATCGAATTTTAAACAATTCCTCATTTAAAAATAATATAGAAATTAAAATATTTGCTAATAAACATGTTTTCCTTTTAAAAAAAAATATTTTTAATGAAAAAGAAAAATACGAAAACTATGAAAAAAATAAAATTAAACCAGTAAAATACACTAAACATACCCTAATATTTGAATAAATAATGAATGAAACATTTTATAATAATCAACATTCTTATACGTTTCAAAATGATAATAAAATTTCTAAAATTTTAACATCCACTTCTAAATAACGAATTGAAGCATTGCTCTCTTTAACTACCCTTTTTTAAAAAAATATTATTTACCCTATTAGAAGGTAGTATCTGTTTTAACTACCATTACTTGCCCATAAAAGTGGAATTCGTCCTCTTTCCCCTCGGCCCTCCCACCCAACCCTACCCCACCCCACTCCATCTCAATCTGACAAAATACTAAATAGGTAAATTTTGGTGACTTAGTAGTCTATTAAGTGGGAGGACTAGTATTTTAAGTGTACAAAAGAACCCACTACATTAAGGGTACACTTAGGAACCTGAAAAAAAATTTCTGGAAATTATTTTTTGGGGGATTTCCATTGTTTGGCTAAAGAGGGTTAATGGAAGTCAGTGAAAAATACAAGTGTGATGAAAAGAAAATTGAGGGAATTTTTTAGAAAATGACTTCTCCTTTTTGTGAGGGAAATCATTTTTTGTTTGCAACAGTGGAGCAGCCAATCACACGCTACCACATGCACCACCCTTGTATATTTTAAATATTTAAAATTAAAAATAATTATGTTTATTTAAAAAAAAAAAAAAAAAAAAAAAAAAAAAAAAAAAAAGAACCAAACACACCAAAACAGTTTTTTAGAATGCAACCAGAAAAGGGAAATATTTTTTACAAATAACTCATTTTTCGAAGTTATTTTCTAATTTTTCAAACAGTGAAATTCTCAAGTTGTGACTATCGAAATTTGATTTTATGTCCTTTTTTGTAATCTATTATCAACAAACCAGCTGAGTTGGCTATGGGAGATTAGTTTACCATTACTTACGTTAGAGTAGAGTGTTAGATAGATGGCCTGGCGCGCTGTATATCATATCAGTTGAGTAAAAGAATACAAAAATCCCAGGAAACAAACATGAAAGCAAGCAAGGTGTCAACAAAGAACTCTAACAGATGGGCTACATCAAGCTATCCTCGTAAATATATACATCTGATCTTCTGCATGCATGCATGCATGCATTTTGAATAGAGGACACCTAATCTAACACATTGATTACTCTGTTTAATTAATTAATTATTGAACAGTGTTTGATAAATGTTGTGATGTGACATTATATTGATGAGTGTATGTTATAAATAATGGGATATGATAGTAGTACAATACTTTCATCTCATCGACCACACATACACTATCTTTCAAGAAGTGAGAATTATTGAAGCTAATTAAGGTAGCATCCATGGCAGCAAGTTCGCTTGGCTCCGTCACTCTCCTCCTCCTTCTCCTCTGCGGTATATACCACGTCGTCTTGCACTCTAGCTTGTTCCTTTTTTTTTTTTTAATAGAAAACAATGGCATGTCTTAGTAGAGAGGAATTTAATTCTTTTCCCTACTAATAATTCTAAAAAGTGTAAAATTTCAAAGTCTATCGAGAGAATTGTAATTTTGTGAAATTACAAATCTTACATTTTCTAAGAATTGTAATTTCATAATATGTGAAAATAAATGTTGGTGTGAGGATCAAAATCCCTTCCCTAATAATACTATATATTTCCTTATAAATTATAATTACACGAGTCTTTTAGTCTTTATACTACTTATTCATTTTTCGAAACGTTATAATTGAAATTTTCACTAATTTTATTCATATATACCAAACAATAGAATTTGAATTTTTTTTTTTTTTTTGAATGCAATAGAATAGAATTTGAATTCATATTTTATTTTCAATTTATCCTTTCTTCACAAAATTACAATTCATTTGCCCTCAAATTTTCTCAATGCAACTAAACAACCTATAAAAGTTTTATATGTTTGGTTCATAGGTTTAGGCACTAGGAATGGAAATCAAGTTAGTGTTTGGTTGACAATTTTTTAAAAACAACTATGGAATTTGATTACCCTTTAATTAAAAACCTTATTCCCTAATTAAAAACGGGTATCATCCCATCTTATTAGTAATATAATTTTTAAGTTTGAATTAATGATTTTAGATTTTTGTTTAGAATTTTTTGTTCATATCGCTATTTTGGATGTCATTATATTAGGATTTAGGAACAATTGTCTTATTTTTTATTTTTGTATTTTTAAAACCTTTATTCTCATTATATAGAATTATACAAAGTTAATTCTACCAGAGGTCCCTTGTCTTTAGTGGCAATTTCAAATTTAGTCTCAGATTATCGTTTTTGTCATTTAACATCCTAGACTATTATTTTTTGGATACTTTTAGTAATTCTCATGACTTTTTCTATTTTAGAAAGAGTATTTTTGTTTTTTCATATTTTTCTTTTGTTATTTTTCCAGTTTCAACCGGTTTAATTGGTTTAAAACTTTATTAAAATCGGTTAAAATCGAAAAAATAACAAAAGAAAAATATGAAAAAAAATAAAAATATCTTTACTCAAAATATAAAAAGTCACGAGAATTACTAAAAATGTCTAAAAGATAATAGTCTGGGATATTAAATGGCAAAAAGAATAATTTGAAACTAAATTTGAAATTGCACAAGAGTGCTCTGATGAAATTAACTCAATTATTAATAACTAAAAATTAATAATTGTAATCATTTCAATTTCACCTTAATTACTATCAAATATATATGTAAAATATTTTTTCAAAAGTCATTAATATTATAAATATTTGATTGCCATTCGAATTCCCATGTACACAGCCTAATAAAGTTGTGTCTGGTTCGCACATGAAACCATGAAAATCAGAATGGGAATGGGTTTGATACTTTGATCGAGTTTATGGTGCAGGCATTGTTGTGGAGGTGAAGCATGCAAATGCGCAATCGGAGGCATGCCCTATGTACTGCGACGGCCGAGCAGAGGTTATGGTATGCCCTCTTGAGGACTCGAAGACGGTGAAGAAAGTTGGCCAACTTTGCACAAACTGTTGCGTAGCAGCAAGCAAGGGCTGCATACTCTTCGACCAGAATGGAACCCCCTTTTGCCCAGACCAACCATCGTCGTTCCGTAAGATCGTAACCGTGGTTTAGAAAAATCCGGACCGGTCGGCGGTCGCCGGTGGCGGGACCAATAAAATGCAAACTTCAAGTTTGCTGTAATGCATCTATCCTAGCTTGAATAATGAGGAGATTATTAGGCCTTAGCTTCGCACTACGCCATCTGATCTCCTTTCTTGTACTGTACTCATCTGAGCTTTTACCTATGTGCATGTTAACATCAACTCTGATGAGAATCATGAGATTGTTATGCTGTTATTCATATTATGTATGTAGTGTTGTTTGACTTTTTTATTGGCTACGTCATAAATTCATCAAATTTTATAAATATAAAGTTTTGACAATTATATAATAAGCATGCAAAATCATTATCACTTCAGTATGCAGTAGTGTTCTTCACCACTATTGTTCTATATGAAGCTACTGCCTTCCACTGCTAATCTCTATTGTTGCTAAACCATCATGTCGCCTAATCAGATGTAGAGTGAATAATGTTGTAATTAACAATAAAAAGTACCATAAAATAAATTTTTGTACTGTATATATACTCCTCGGTCATAAAAGCAAGTGCTGTTTTTTTGACCGAGCAAATAAAACAAGGGTAATTCTATTTGCACCACCCAATTTGCTATTTACACCACCCCTTTAATAGGTATAATAGCTTTATAGGTGGTGCAAATAGAAAAGTACATCATCATTAAATGTTGTCAAATATTAATATTTATTATTTATTTTTTTTTAATAATAAAAATATTAATTTAAAAAAAATGAGAAGATGAACCTGTCACCTTCTCTGGTAGAAGGCGACGAGCTGCCTTCTCAGCGGAGAAGGCAGCCCAGTTAAAAAATAAATAAATAAATAAAATCCCCGTAATCTTTTCCGGTGAGTAGGCCAAGGGCTGCCTTTTCACCGGAGAAGGCAACCCAGGTTGAAAGCTACCTGAGTCGCCTTCTCTGGTGAGAAGGCGACCCACTGGGTCGCCTTCTCACTGCAGAAGGCAGCCCAATTGCCTTCTCCGGTGAGAGGGCAGCCGCTCGCCTTCTCACCTGAGAAGGCTAGGGGGTTCGTTTTTTTTTTTTTTTTTTAAATATTTTAATTAATTAAATTTTGAATTAAAAAATTATTAATTGCAAGTTTGACCAAGGTGGTGCAAATAGCAAAATGAATCCCCAATTTGGCTATTTACACTACCTATGTAATTATTAAAAGTTTTCACCTTTTTACGATTTCAAGATACTTTATACCCACTTTTGGTCAAAGGGTGGTCCAAATAGCAACACCCTAAAACAATAAATAAGATGGTACATGTGTTGCTAGCTGAGCATGGAAAAAGCATTAATATGCATTGCCTAATCTATCAATGTAGGTCATTAGTCTTAAAACAATAGAGTAGCTGGTAGAGGCATGACAAGCTAACCATAGAAAAAGCTTTAATATGCATGGTCTTATCTATGATAAAGATGCATGGGAGAATGAATCAATTCTAACCACACATGTGATAAGGAGCCAAGTTTTACATTACATTTAATATTATTAAAAAAAATAAAATAAAATTCACTGCTTTGTCTCAGACCCCGAAGACGAAGAACAAAAACAAAAATAAAACTAATAATAGTAATAATACCTCGAGTTTTCTGTGTATATTTGTTGTCCTTCAGTTGTAATGTCGTGGGCCATACTCCAGCCATCTGGTGAGTCGTATGTTGTAACAGTATCAACGTGTAGCATTATTCCTGATCGTAGTCCCATAAAATTCGTATTTGTGGGTTGTAGTGGTGTAGTAGTCTCACACACACACACACACACACACACACACACACACACACACACACACACACACACACACATATATATATATATATATATATATATATATATATATATATGTAGTTCCCCAAAGCGTGAAGAGTGGTCAAAACAATATTGTCAAGATTGAGCACTTCCTATAGGAAACGGTATATATGTGACTGTTGTATTATCTGTAGATACAGGCAACCTCCCTGTTAAGACCAATGACAATTGTCCTTCGCCCATTGAACTCCGGATGAAATTTACAATATCTGATAAAGAAGATTGGTGATATATATAAATGATATGTGAGGAAGGTAGTGTATATCGAAGCTCAAATGGGATTTGATTGACAGCAATACCGAAGTAATGTTGCAAAGCCACATAATCTCCACCACCTTCGAAAAAAATACTATATTCTATTACAAAACGTAAATTAAAAAAATACAAAAATTGTTGAGATTAATTTTATACCTGCCATAACGTCAAATAAATTTGTAGAGATGAAGATGGTTGAACAAAGGCAATGAATATTTTTTGAAGCCAATACACAATGAAGGAAGGCAATATATAGTAAAGTCTTCAAGGAGGAGTAAAATTGAGTAAAGTCTTCAACTACTTAATCGGATGTAGAGTGAGTAAACATTGTAATTAACAATAAAAAATACCAAAAAATAAATTTGTGTACTGTATATATACTGCTCGGTCATAAAAGCAAGTATTGGTTTTTTGATCGAGTAAATAAAACAATAGAGAAGCTGGTAGAGGCGTGGCTAGCTAAGCATGGAAAAAGTTTTAATACGCATTGTATAATCCATCAATGTAGGTCATTGGAAAAGGATCTAAAAACAATAGAGTAGCTGGTAGAGGCGTGACTAACTAAGCATGGAAAAAACTTTACTATGCATTGTCTAATCCATGATAATGTCGCACGCGAGAATGATCCAATTCTAACCACACATGTGATAAGGAGCCAAGTTTTACATTACTTTTAATATTATCAAAAAAAAATAAAAAAAATCACCCCTTTGTCTTAGGCGCCGGAGACGAAGTATAAATATAAAAATAAAAATGAAACTAATAATGGTAATAATACCTCAAGTAGTCTGTGTATATTTGTAGTCCTCCGGTTGTAATGTCATGAGGCACGCTCCCGCCTTCTGGTGAGTCGTATGTATTAATAGTATCAACGTGTTGCATTATTCCTGACAGTAGCCCCATAAACTCTGTATTTGTGGGATGCAGTTATGTAGTTGTCAGATATATATGCAGTTCCCCAAAGCGTGAAGAGTGGTCAAAAAAATATTGCCAAGATTCTTCACTTACTATATGAAACAGTATATATGTGAATGTTGTATTATCAGTGGATACGGGCAACCTCCATGTTAAGACCATTGACAATTGTCATTCGCTGATTGAACTCTGGATGACATTTACAATATTTGATGATAAAGATTGATGATATATGGAAACGGCATGTGAGAGAGGTAGTGTATATCGAAGCTCAAATGGGGTTTGATCGACCACAATATCCCAGTAAAGTTGCAAAACCACATATAATCTCAACCACCTACAAAAAAAATACTATATTATGTTACAATTCAAAATGTAAATTAAACAAAATACAAAAATTGTTGAGGTTAATTTTATATCTGCCATAACACAATATTAATTTTTAGAGATGAAGATGGTTGAACAAAGACAATGAATCTGTTTTGAAGCCAACACACAATGAAGGAAGACAATATATAGTAAAGTCTTCAAGGAGGAGTGTAAAATCGAGTAAAGTCTTCAACTACTTAATCGGATGTAGAGTGAGTAAATGTTGTAATTAACAATAAAAAAATACCACAAAATAAATTTTTGTATTGTATATATATTGCTCGATCCTAAAAGCAAGTATTACTTTTTTGATGTGGCTAGCTAAGCATGGAAAAAGCTTTAATAGGCATTGTCTAATCCATGATAAAGAGGCATGGGAGAATGAGCAAATTCTGACCACACATGTGATAAGGAGCCAAGTTTTACATTACATTTAATATTACTAAAAACCAATGTTGCAAAACACGCTAGGCGCCCCCTAGGCGGAAAGGGGGCGCCTAGGCGCCGATTTTATTTTATTTTATTTTATTTTTTAATTAAAAATAAAATTAAAAATTAAAATTTTTTAAAATTTAGTAATAAAACATAAGGTTTCCATAGTTATTTCTTAGAAAATATTTACGAAAGTGGTTGTAAAAGTGTTCAAAGGATTGTTTAAACCATCCAAAGCGGACAACCAAGTCAAAAGTTATGCCTTCCCGAAGTTTTCGCAATTTAAAACGCAAAAAAAAAAAAAAAAATTAAAGCGCCGGTTCGGCGCCGGTTCAGCCGGCTAGGCGGTCTAGGCGGCGGCCTAGACCGCCTAGCCGGCCGGCCGCGGAGGAGGCCGATTCCGGCCTTCTTCGCGGCGGCGGCCGGGCACCTAGGCGCGATTTTTGCAACCTTGCTAAAAACGCATAATTCACTGTTTGTCTCAAGCGCCGGAGACGAAGAATAAAAATAAAAATAAAAATAAAACTAATAATAGTAATAATGCCTCGAGTAGTTTGTGTATATTTGTTGTCCTTAGGTTGTAATGTCGTGGGCACACTCCGGCCATCTGGTGAGTCGTATGTTGTAATTGCATCAACGTGTTGCATTATTCCTTATTGTATCCCCCATAAACTTTGTATTTGTGGGTTGTGGTGGTGTAGTAGTCACACACACACACAAACAAACACACAGACACACACACACACACACACACACACACACACAAACACACACATATAGGGAAGGGATCAGGTGCATTTGAGGCTTCCCGTGCGGTTGTGCGGGTGGACGCACGTTAAGCATTAATTTGACGCACTTAAAGTACACAACACATGCACATTAAGCACACAAACCTCACGCATGTTAAGCACAAGCCTCACACATGTTAAGTACAAGTCTCACGCATGTTAAGCACAAGCCTCACGCATGTTAATCACAAAAACACATGCTCTTTAAGTTTTAAAAAACAACTCACATTAAGTACACACTCACGCACATTAAGTACAAAACTCACGCACCTTAAGCACACGACTCACGCACATTAAGCACAAAACTCACGCACATTAAGCATAAAACTCATGCACTTTAAAGTTTCAACAACAACTCACATTAAGTACACACTCACGCACATTAAGCACAAAACTCAGGCACCTTAGGCATAATACTCACACAACTTAAGTACAAAACTCACCACATTAACATTACACACTCACGCACATTAAGTACAAATCTCAGGCACATTAACATTACACACTCATGCACATTAAGAACTAATCTAATCCATTCAAATTTCCTTAATTAATGGTCAAGATAATTTAATATTTTAATGTACATCTTAAACATAATTAATTAGAAAGGATATTAGTGTAATTTTGTCCAGCTATTAATTAAAACGAAATATTATGTTTAGATTCTTTCCATGATTTTAGGA